GAGCACCCCACATTGATAACAGTGATATACACTCTGCAATATACATCTCCTGGGTGAACACATCCACCTCAAACAAAGGCCGGGCTTTCTTTGACAACTTACTTAAGGATGAGTTGCAGCATCTTAAAAACACAGAGTATAACATTACCACAAGAAAGTCTGTGGCAGAAAATGTTTTTAGAATGAAGTCCATGCTCCTAGATGTTGGCTTCAACCTAATCTACAGCTGTGATGAGACAGCCAGTCTGTATTTCTGCCTGGAAGATGCTGGGATTCCAGTCAACTATGTGACTCCTGAGGATGTTCGCAAATTTCTTCTGACATTCTCATCTCCAGACGCATCCTGCCAAGTTGGAAAGCTACCATGTCGACTGCAGCAGTCCAATTTCAAGCTCTTCCATGGTCTGAAACTACTTGTCGACTACTGCTTCAAAGATGTGGAGGAAAATGATATTAACATAGAGGGACTGCCACTTCTTTTGACAATGGACAACATTCTGCAAGTGTTTGATGCCAGACATTCAAAGTTTCTGACCACTTATCATGAGCTTATTCCATCAAGGAAAGAGCTTTTCATGCACACACTATACATAAAGTACAGTAACATACTTCTAAAAGCAGGTGTGGCAAAGACCTTTGACATAAGCAGTTTTGGAGATCTCCTGGGATCTGTACTTCCCAGAGAGTGCAAAACAAGAAACTCAGTAAAATGGAAGGATAACTTTCCTACTGAAACTTGGCTTAAAAGTGCATGGCACTTTATCAGTGAACAACTTGCGACCAAGGATGACCAGACAGAGATCAAGCCTAAATTTGAGACCATTCTGGATATATTGAAAGATTGGGCACTACTTCCAGGAATCAAATTTATGGTGTCAGGAAACAAATTGGTTGTGCCAGAGCATGACGTTTTGTTACCCCTGAGCTTGATCTTTGCAGCAATCTTTCCAAATGGACAAAATGACAAAGTCTTTCACACCCTGATGAAGGGAGGATGCTTTCAATTTGCTGTGAATAAAACATGTGCCAAAGAGAGTCCCATCTTGCCTCTATTGGCTCAGCACACAGCAAATATAGACAATCCCTCCAGCATACTTCGGGCACTTGAGTACATGATCCAGATATCAGCTTTCAAAACAGCAAGTTTGACGGACAAAGACTTTGAAGCACTGTTGTTGTACTTCAACTGCAATTTGGCTAATCTGACCCAGGATGATGTACAATGTCTTAAACTGTTGCCATGTTACAAAGCTGTCAGTGGCCGGTACATCTGCATTTCAAACTTCGGAGCATGCTATGTTCTAACAAAAAGCATTCCCTCTGCCGACATTGAAAAATGGGCACATAATACATCTTCAGCCTTTCTTGCTGACAGTCCACAGCTGAAAGAACTCTACAGCTTTCTTGGGGTCACACCAATTGATGATCTTGAGGTCTACCTGAATCATTTAATTCCAAAATTTGACATTTTATCACATGATGCCAAAATCCAACATGTCATCTATCTGAAGGAGAGGTTATTGGCAATGGAGGAGCCAAACAGCATCAAGGATCAGCTCTTTGAAAAACTAGAAGGTCTGTCTTTCATTCATGACTCCACCAATAGACTGAAACCTACCAAAGCCTTCTTCGATCAAACAGTTAAAGTGTTTGAAGTAATGCTTCCACAAAAAGCCTTCATTCCCAATGATTTCTTCAAAAAAATCGAGCAGGTCTCAAAGCCAAAAAGTGGGACATCCTATTTGCCCTCATGGATAACATTCCTACGCAATACTGGGTTAAAATATGTTGTATCACAACAGCAAGTTCTACAGTTTGCAAAAGAGATCAGCATCAAAGCTCATACAGAGAACTGGTCCCAGGAAAAAGTTCAGACAATTGTTGATGTTCTCCTAAATCACATTTTCAATGAGAGAACAGATCTGTTTGATGGGGCATTCCTCAAAGAACTCTCTATGATACCATTCCTATGCTCAGAGCGTGCACCAGCCGAGCTTGTTCGCCTCCACGCTCAGTACCAAGAAATGAATGGCACCATCCCTTTAATTCGCTTCAGTGGGTCTCAAGTAAATCCAAAGTTCAAACAAACTGATATCATGCAGTTGTTGTGGACATCTTGTCCTATTCTACCGGAGAGAGCCACGCCAACAAGCATAAAAGACCAGGAAGGAAACACACTTGCCAGCCAAGAGCAACTTGATCTTATTTTGAGCCTGTTAAATGTCAATGTGGACCCACCATTGGAAAAGGTGATTAGCAATTGCAAAAACATATGTAGCATTACTAACTTGGATGATGACACAGTGAAAACACGAAACAAGGTCTTGAGGAGCATTTATGAATTTCTGAATGCAGAAAAACATGAATTCCGCTGTCAGTTACGAGGAGTAGCCTTCGTCATGGTTGAAGAGGGTTGGAAACTCCTTAAACCAGAGGAGGTTGTCATTAATTTGGACAATGAATCTGACTTCAAACCCTACTTGTACAAACTTCCCCTTGAGCTGGGTACATTTCACCAACTGTTCAAACTGTTGGGAACTGAGGACATTGTTTCAACAAAACAATATGTCGAAGTTTTGTGTCGAATTTATAGAATTTCAGAAGGCAAGCAGCTTGACCCAAATGAAATGAGAACAGTAAAAAGAACTGTCTCTGGGCTATTCAAAAATCTCCAGAATGACCCAGTACAGGTCCGTAAAGACCTTGAGAATCTCAGAGATTTGACATTTTACCTTCCAAGTCATGATGGACGATTGGCCAAATCAAACACATTGGTTTTTGACGATGCACCACACTACAAGAGCCGAATTCAGGGTAATGTTGGTGTTCAGATGCTAGTTGACATGAGCCAATGTTACCTAGGCAAAGACCATTCCTTTCACACAAAGCTGATCATGTTGCTTCCCCAGAAACTGAGGCCCAGGCTTCTGAGTAGTATCTTGGAGGAGCAACTAGATGAAGACTCTCCAAAAATGTGCCAATTTGGTGCCCTTTGCTCCCTGCAGGGACGGCTTCAATTGCTGCTGTCATCAGAGCAGTTTATCACTGGATTAATTCGGATCATGAAACACGAGAATGAGAATGCATACATGGTGAATGAGGAGAAAGCAATACGGTTATGCAAAGCACTGTGTGAGGGCTTAAAGGTGTCTTGCTTTGAGAAACTACAGACAACATTGCGAGTGAAAGGCTGCAGTCCGATTCCCCATAGCCGTAGTGAAACTCTTGCCTTTCTTAAAAGGTATGGAACTGCTGTTATCCATCTTTACATTCAGCATTCTGACAGCAAAGACATAAATTTTCTTCTTGCTTTAGCAATGACCCTTAAGTCAGCGACAGACAACCTGATTTCTGACACCTCTTATCTTATTGCTATGCTGGGTTGCAATGACATCTACAGAATAACAGAGAAGCTAGACAACCTTGGTGTCAAGTATGACACAACTGAGCCCTCAAAGCTAGAGCTTCCACTTCCTGGTACACCCATTCCTGCAGAGATTCATCATTTACTGCTCATGGACCCCATGAATGTCTTTTACCCTGGAGAATATGTTGGTTACCTGGTAGATTCAGAGGGAGGTGATATTTTAGGCACTTACCAGCCAACTTACACATACGCTATCATCGTTCAAGAAGTAGAACGGGAGGAAGACGAAAGTCCAAGTGTCCTCGGCAAGTGCTTTCAAATTGACATTGGGTACAGTGAGTACAAAATTGTGAGTTCTCTTGACCTATATAAATTTTCCAGACAGGATGATAGCACCCATATTCGAGATGGCACACCAACTCCAAAGAGCCCCTCAGAGGGTCGTTCTCCTTCTGCCAGAATGGTCCCTCCAATATTTCCTAGAAAGGAAAATCACAGGGCTCCTCCAACAGAGGCATCCCCCAAAAAGATAAAACTCAATGCATTACCAGAAATTCTAAAAGAAGTTACGTCGGTCATAGAACAAGCTTGGAAACTTTCTGAAACCGAACGCAAGAAAATTATACGCCGCTTATACTTAAAGTGGCACCCTGACAAAAATGCAGAGAATCTTGATATCGCTACCGAAGTCTTTAAGCACCTACAAAATGAGATCAGCAGGATGGAGAAGCAAACACAGGCAGAGCAGACCACTGAAAGAGGATCAAGGAGACCTTTCTCTGCATCTTCCACTCGATTCCAGTCAGAGAAATTCTCATTTCAGCGATTTTACACATCATGGAACCAAGAAGCAACAAGCCATAAATCGGAAAAGCGGCAGTTCCGAGAACAATTTACTAGCTATGCAGGCACATCGCATTCAAATCGCTTCTTTGTACCACCGTCGTTTAAATCCGTTGGGAACCCTGTAGAGGCACGCCGGTGGCTAAGGCAAGCAAGAGCCAATTTTTCCGCTGCAAGAAATGATCTTCATAAAAATGCCAATGAATGGGTATGTTTCAAATGCTACCTGGCAACAAAGCTTGCATTAATCGCTGCAGATTATGCAGTGAGAGGAAAATCAGACAAAGATGTAAAGCCCACAGCACTTGCACAAAAGGTAGAGGAGTACAACACCCAGCTAACAGGGTTGGCCAAGGATGTACACATCCTCGAGGGTTATGGTGTGGACAGCCTGAGAACTCGCTACCCTGACCTTTTACCCTTCCCCCAGATTCCTAACGACAGATATACTTCAGAAGTAGCAATGAGAGTAATGGAATGTACAGCTCGGATAATCATCAAACTTGAGACATTTGTCCAGCAAAAACTCTGAATTAGACAATGCAAAACTCTAACAATTGAATTAACAAAGCGTTTTACAAAATTATGTATCTCGCTGGCATTTTATTTTAACTGTGCCACCTCTGATGCTGTGACACATGCTTATAATTGCGTACATATCTGCTCCATTTCTCTGAAAGGTTGCCCGAGTCTAAAGAAAAAATGTACGCTATTTAACATGCAGCAGTGTACATACTTTGTACCTCCATCATTTAAGTCTGTTGGGAACCCTGTGGAGGCACGACGGTGGCTAAGGCAAGCAAGAGCCAATTTTTCCGCTGCAAGAAATGATCTTCATAAAAATGCCAATGAATGGGTATGTTTCAAATGCTACCTGGCAACAAAGCTTGCATTAATTGCTGCCGATTATGCAGTGAGAGGAAAATCAGACAAAGATGTAAAGCCCACAGCACTTGCACAAAAGGTAGAGGAGTACAACACCCAGCTAACAGGGTTGACCAAGGATGTACACATCCTGGAGGGTTATGGTGTGGACAGCCTGAGAACTCGCTACCCTGACCTTTTACCCTTCCCCCAGATTCCTAACGACAGATATACTTCAGAAGTAGCAATGAGAGTAATGGAATGTACAGCTCGGATAATCATCAAACTTGAGACATTTGTCCAGCAAAAACTCTGAATTAGACAATGCAAAACTCTAACAATTGAATTAACAAAGCGTTTTACAAAATTATGTATCTCGCTGGCATTTTATTTTAACTGTGCCACCTCTGATGCTGTGACACATGCATATAATTGCGTACATATCTGCTCCATTTCTCTGAAAGGTTGCCCGAGTCTAAAGAAAAAATGTACGCTATTTAACATGCAGCAGTGTACATAATGTTAAAAAATATAGCAATACCTTTTATTATTTTAAATACATTTATTGTTGTTCCTTTGTACATAATGAATACCAATGCTGCTTTTTTTTAATCTTTTTTAGAAATTAATTTTTCCTGCCATAGTCATTAAGTTGATGGTATTGTGATTTAATAGCATGAGTTGCACTGCACTTTTATGTAATTGAGTGATTGCAGAAATTTGAATGAATGAATCATGTGCAATCCAGCAACGACAGGCAAATCAGCTCATGGTTTCTTAATGGGATCTATATCAATCATGTGCCAGTAGCTCATTCTGAAATAAAAACGGCAGGTTATAATGTTCATACACCGTTTTATCAGCTAGCAAATCCACAAGGTAATTGACATGCTCCTGTCACTGTATATGTAATACTGTGCATAACCTGAACATTAAACAGTGAAAATAAAAATATTTGAAAGACTTTAAATTACATCTTGAAGATGTAATATGACAGCAGGTTCATAAGTGTTTACCAGTGCAATTACTGTATCTGTCTGGTTGCAAGAATGACATTTATTTCATATTTCACAATCAACTTTATCGCAACTGAACTATGCATGTATACATTGTTGGCTTGGGGCTTAACAGAGCACTTTTTATTTCCCATACAAGGATACTGGTGGGTGTAGTTTTAGCGCATATTACTATTTAAAAATATAACAAGTGACATTTTCTCTTGAAATTTCACCTGTCAGTTAATTGACATCTACACATCACACAACATGCGTAATTCCTCAGAAACACATCGATTAAATATGCATTTTCTATTATTCATAATGGGAACCTCTTGTCTTCTACTGCTGAGATTTTTGGCATGAAGTTCTCTGAAATTTGTGTAAGAGCGAGGAACATAGATACTCATATGGTGCTCAATGTCAATGATGTTTTTTCATCCATTCCCTTTGTTTAACTGCGAGAGACTGAAATTAAACACTGGCTACTGTATTGTTTGGACAAATATATTTAGTCATTTGTTTCAATCTCATAATGTCATATTACAGCTCTGTAAGTTTGAGACCCACTGACAGTGGCTCTTATTTTTATTCTTAATTTTAATTCTTAAAAATATCCTCTGAATCCACTGTTCAGTCATATAGTATCAGGTAATAATGGTACAACATATACCGTTTATTGCACACAAAATTTTCCCTTAAGTTTAATGATTTTTTTTATTATTATTAATTATCATGTCAACTCATGCCAAAACACTGAATGAGGAAAAACCCCATTTACAGTTGTTCATACATGCTTTATAGTTAAACTATAATATCATTCAAAGGTCGGTATTGTAATTATTTACTTTACATATGTAAACCTCAAAATATGAGATTTCCCATTGAAGAAATCTACAGCAACCAAAATATAATATACAACTGATGAATAAATGTGAAGATTCCCAACCAATACCGTATATACAAACATAATCACTCTCAGCATTTTCAAACAGAACATATGCAAAACAATTCTGAGAAAACACACACATCCCAAAGTTTCAAGCTGCCATAAGGTAAATTATACCATTTTGATAGTTACATTATTCCATATACATTTATATTAAATAAATGGAGATGCCTAATTTGATATCAAACCAAGAGCACTTTATATCTTACAGTAGTTTTATTTTTTACTAGATCAATTATGTGGTTACTCTCAATACCCCAGCTGTTTTGGCACTAACACATAGATTTTGCCATTTGACAAAAATGAGAGACATTTGGATTAGATTAGATTGCAATGCTTAACAGAAGAATTCAAAGCTACTGCTTCAGGATTGTGGGTAGTGCAGTTCTTCAGACAGAAATGTATTATTACGCATGACTTAATTAAAAAAAAGTTGTAATTAAACTGATTTCAGAAGTATATATCATAACCCTCAGAGAAGCACATAAGTGTTTTATTTGTAATAATTTCTCTATTAATGAGCGCATCTTTAAACAATAACTAGCTGATATGCATCACACAGAATTTGGGTATTTATTGCACCTCAAAATTATATTGCTTAGGATGTCAGCTGTTTACCAGCCCCTTTATTGCCCAGCCTAATTTTTAACAATTTGTATACAAAAAAAAAGGAGAAAAATAAAGTACAGTCTACTACACAACCCGATCTCATAAGAAAATGTAACTATTTTACAAGGCGATTTTGTATGAATTCATACATAGACATATTTAAAAAATAATAATACTAATCATAATGGTCCTCCCTTAAACCAAAACGTCAGTGGGGAGTAGGCAGATTGTATGGAAACATAAGAATTAAATTAGAATTTATTAGGTTTGAAATTATAAACACCAATTCACCAAAACATAAATAGTTACAAATTGCCATGGGTGTGTGTGTTGTATATACTGCATATTTCATCTTCCCTATCATGATAAAACCCCAACCAAATAGATGAATGTACACCTCTGATCTTCAGTAACATGTTAATACATATCGTGATGGGTTTTTTTAACCTTGCCCAATACAATGTAACAACACAATGTGTTTCTAGTGTGGGCGTTAAGGACAGAAGGTCATTCAGCAGTCCTGGCGCTCGCTGCAGGTCGAAGAGACGCCAGCTCTGGAGATGAAGAGCTTACCGCTGGGACAAACGCACACTTCATATGTGTTGTACATTCCCTGAGAGTCACCTGACGTTCTGGCTTCTCCCACAGGTAACGTCGGCAGACGAACACTTTCAGCATCTAAAATCAACTGAAACACAACCGAAAACCTTACTATTGAGGTATTTAATGAAAGGTTAGGCCACACTTTATTTTAAGGTGTCCTTGTTACACGTTACATGAACTTACTATTATAATTACAAAAAAATATGCATAATTACATGCAAGTAACCCTAACCATATAGTAAGTACATGTAATTATTGTAAATAAATATTACTCAGGACTTAAATGTATAATTACACTGGAACAAAGACACCTTAAAACAAAGTGTAACCAAAGGTTAAATAAAGTTTATTTAAAGATTACTATCATTACCATATTACGTAATTACATAAGAAATAATAAACAGATTTTCACTAGTCTATTGTTTATTAGAAGACACCAGGAGTCTTTGTTTCAACTAGAGTTTCAGAAATATATATATATATTATGTATATCTGTCTTGGACTGTGCTCAAATGTGTTAAAACACCAATTTCTACAATCAAGAGTCATTACATTCTTCCAAAAATATGAGTTCAGTCAGGACCACTATCGTCAAAATGATAGATACTTAGCATAAAGTTTGGTTTGGCGGTATGGTTCTGTTCTGGGCAAAAACCTCCCTGCCCATCCATGCAGCCTGTCATGAATGAGCAGGGAGAGCAGCAATAATAACCCCCCTAGGGTTAACAGAACAGAACAAGGCAGATATCATTAATGTACTTAATGATATTTAAGTGTAACACTTTATTCAAGATAAAGGAGTCTGATTAGCAAAGAATATCAGAAATCCAAGTCCTGACTGTGGCGAAAGGAGGAGCTGGGGATGGAGAAGGGTAATTTGCTCCTGAGCAAGCTGAAAAGCTGCAGAATAATACTGAATAGAGCTTATATAGGAATGCCGCGATAGGTGTCGTATTCCTATAGGTAGATGTGATCAGCTGAGAATCAGGATTGCTTACCAGTCCTGCAGTTGAGTGTAGCTGAATATCAAAGTGTGCTGTCACGTCAACATTTCCAGCCAAGGCTTTGACGTGAACGCCTTTTGGGGCATCCATGCTGAGAGAGCGTGTTGGAGACTCTAGTCTTAAAAGATAGGGAATGCTTAGTTAGCACTTTGCAGTGCATCATTTGGACACAAGATGGCCACAAGATACTCTCAAATTCAACAGTTTGATTCATAGAAACAGAGGAATCTGCATGACTGTGGGCATTACATTTACTTGTGAAAGACATTTTTAAAGCAGAAAAAAATTAAGCCTTTGTTGAGAACCAGATGCCTTGGTAACTCGGGTCATCACACATCACAGCTGGTTAATCCCCTGCTGGAAACTTCTATAAAAGTTATTTAGGTAATATAATCAGTACCGCCATTACTTTTAATGAGCTGACCTTATAAAACAAGAATGTTTTTGAGAAAAAACCAATCAGATAAAATGCAGAGTTAAAAATGAAGCTATGTAGCAAAGTGCTGTATTGGAAGTGAAAAAGTTAATAATTCAGTACTTACTTTAGCTCTTTGTTAAGTACTGCTTTGACCATTGGAGTCCTGACAGAATGCTCAAAGATAGCACCTTCTGGACCTGTCCAAACACCAGAAAACTTACAACTATACAAAGGAAGTGGACAAATCATTCAGGATTGAGGGTGATATCCATATAATCACATCGTTGCATTTATTTGCTAAAATACAGATTATCGAATACATTATATTATTATATTGTATAACATATTATATTTCACTGTATTAAGCTTTGTATGTATTAAAGCATACGATGCAATACATGTATTTTTCAGTTAAAATCAGGTGCTGCCACAAATACTACATTCATGATTAATCAATGTACATAGTTATGTATTATAATATATTAAATAAGGTATATTATTTTTGCAATTTGAGAATTGGCATGGAAATGTTCTAAATTGTAATAAATAATACAAAATGACCTAAATGTCCTGAAACAGGCTTTATTCTTTAAATAAAATATAATTGGTTCTTCTTTTGGGGGGTGAAATACGATTTAATTCATGATTAATCTATAAGCAATGTACAGAGTTATATATTATTTTTGCAATATGAGAATTGGCATGGAAATGTGCTAAATTGTAATAAAAATGCTAATAATACTAAATAACCAAAACGTCCTGGAACAGGCTTCATTCTTTAAAAAAATATTATGTGTTCTTTTTGGGGCAAAATATGATTGAATAAAAACGCTGTTGACAGGTATGAGATTCATCTATGCATTACAAAAATCAAAATAGCTCTAGGCTAGTTTAGATAAAGTATTAATATTTAATCTAGTGTGTAAAGCCATTGTGCATCATGGGATACCAGGCATGTGTTGTTATGGCTGGATCTGTTGTTTACAAAATCTCAGTATTTAACCAGTTAATTAATGGGGCTGTTTCATATGTTAGAATATACTTACTATTCTCTTCATATTTTTCTTAAATCTTTTTGAATTAATATTTGAACACAGTAAAGTGCAACATTGTAAACAATGTACTTCCTAACACTATAACAGCACTAATAACACAACAGAGCATTTCCTTTTCTTTTTTTTAATGCAGGTCTATTTCTAGGCTCACCTGTTACACGGAGCTTGCCTTTTCCCACAACGGCTCCATTTACATCTGCATAAAATAAATTTTCATCATGGTTGGAACTGATATTAAAGTGTTGGCCAAAACCCTCGGCCTGACTGGGACCTATTGAGAATAGAAATAAACGAGGAGAGAATATATATATTCAAACAGAATATTGATAAAACAGACTATATTTATTGTCATTAAATTTCCAGTTTCACTTTCATATCCAGTTGTTCAGTTTTATGTTGCCGCTGGGCTCTTAGCTCATGCATTTTCTGTGTGACCCATTTGATTCACCCTGTAAAGCCTGACATATTGGATAATGGTAATGGAATGATAATGGAACCCTACAGTGGCCCAGTAGTGCACAACACAACAGAAACAAGCCACAACACAATGAAATCAGCACAGCACAACAGAAACAAGCCGCAACACAACGGAAACAAGTCGCAACAAAACGGAAACAAGCCGCAACACAACGGAAACAAGTCTCAACAAAACGGAAACAAGATGCAATGCAACGAAAACAAGACACAACACAACGGAAACAAGCCGCAACACAACAGAAACAAGTCGAAACACAACAGAAACAAGCCGCAATGCAACGGAAACAAGCCACAACATCAAAATGAGCAAAACACAAAAGAAACAAGATGCAACACAACGTAATTAGCACAACACAAAAGAAACAAGTCGCAACACAACGGAAACAAGTCGCAACACAACAGAAATAAGTTGCAACACAACGGAAGCAAGCCACAACACAACAGAAACAAGACGCAACACAAAAGAAAAAACAAGTCGAAACACAACAGAAACAAGCCGCAATGCAACGGAAACAAGCCACAACATCAAAATGAGCAAAACACAAAAGAAACAAGATGCAACACAACGTAATTAGCACAACACAAAAGAAACAAGTCGCAACACAACGGAAACAAGTCGCAACACAACAGAAATAAGTTGCAACACAACGGAAGCAAGCCGCAACACAACAGAAACAAGTCGAAACACAACAGAAACAAGCCGCAACACAACGGAAACAAGCCGCAACACAACGAAAACAAGACGCAACATAACGGAAACAAGACGCAACACAACAGAAACAAGTCGAAACACAACAGAAACAAGCCGCAATGCAACGGAAACAAGCCACAACATCAAAATTAGCACAACACAAAAGAAACAAGATGCAACACAACGTAATTAGCACAACACAAAAGAAACAAGTCGCAACACAACGGAAACAAGTCGCAACACAATGGAAACAAGATGCAACACAACGTAAGCACAACACAACAGAAACAAGTCGCAACACAACAGAAACAAGTCGAAACACAACAGAAACAAGCCGCAATGTGACGGAAACAAGCCACAACATCAAAATTAGCACAACACAAAGGAAACAAACCACAACACAACAGAAACAAGATGCAACACAACGTAATTAGCACAACACAACAGAAACAAGTCGCAACACAACGGAAACAAGTGCAGTTGCTGTTATTTACATAGGCAAAAAGTATGATGAAATTTTGGCTGTAATGTAAATCAGAGAGTTCTTTATAACATGTATGATGTATGATGATTGTCAGGCGTTGCGGTGGTAATCCAAAAGGGAAAGACACACGATGCGGAATGAGCAATAAACACACTAAGAAAATGAAAGAGCACTACCACAACAAAATTAACATAACTTCAACACAAGACAAAGAAACAGAAGATAACTCGGGGTTTAAATACACAGAGGATGATGACTAACAGAATGGGGAACAGGAGAGGATTAATCAAAAACCACTGTAACAAAAGAAAACATGAATGTGACTGATATATTAAACTGCTTATTGTTATGATCAAAGCTCTGTAGTTTTAGTTTTTGGACCAAAACTAATAATGCAATACAATACACTGAGAGAGATGTCAAAATCATGTAATCAGCCAATAAGTGTTTTGTGTATCTCATACCTACAGACACACTTCCTGTTACATCACCATTGGCATTGCGAGCATTGAGTGTAACGTTTTCAGAGGAGTGCACCAGAAGAGCTGAATCCTGTAATGAAGATGAGAATGGACAAAATGGGCAACTAAATCAATCTATTTATCCATGTTTAAGTGTAAATAGCTCTTACCTCTCTGGAGTCAATTTCCTGGGCATAGACAGGGAACAAAAAGTCAGATTCTCCCTCCAGTCTCAGTCCATCTTCATTGACCTGCAGGTATCCCATGCCTTCCTGCAACAGCCAACAACACAGAGTGCTTTCTCAGCATCAGTGTGACTTCATGTGACAGCATGCAGTGGCCAACTGAGATAAAGTGGCTCAACCAAGGGCAAAATCTAAATGTGGATTCATATTTCTATTAAAAATGGATTACATATGTGATCTGAAGTCCTTTAAGGGAAGTTCTCTCACCGTATTGAACCACATGACTCGTAGGATCCAGATCGTTAGGGCAAAGTTCACCACCAGAATGATGAGGAGAAGCAGGACGAACAGATAGAGGCAGCGTTTCCTCCAGCCGTAGATGCCGATCATGTAGATGTACTCATTGACTGGAGCCAGAGCCCCAGACTCATCTGTGGTGGTGAGGTACTGCTCACGCACCATCTAGGAATGAAGATTTGTGGTCAACTACACATTAAAACTACAATTCATGAAAAGTACACAAGATATTTTACAGCCTGAACTAACCTTGCCTTGTCATTAGTCAAATTATCTGATACATTAGAAACTTATTGACCTTGACACACCTTGATTTTTGTTCTGTAAGTTGTTTGTACCACATGACTTTGATTTGGTAAAGGAAAGTTTTTAAATAAGCAGAGAAGCAGTTGTGTGTGTGTGTGTGTGTGGATGGTTTTTTCTAAGAAATAAAATGAAAATTCATTTTAATTCTGAAATTAAAAGTATGCTTATCGAAGCAATATGTTCAAATCATTGTATTTATGAATTGCATTTGATCCATGAACTACACGTTTATCAACAACAAAATACCAACTGTATGTGTGTGTGTGTGTGTGTATGTGTATGTTAGACCAGTTTATGTGTTTATGTAGTATGTTAGACTAGTTTAAGTGTTTATGTAGTTAATAAAACCTTACTTGTATCACACTTGACGTGGTTCATTGTTTGCTCATAACTGAGTCACTTAATCATGCAGATTTATGCTACAAGCTTTTGTAGAATTGTACAGTAAGGAAGTTATTTCCCTTAACCAGGAAATTAACGTTCTTAGAATTGACAAGACAGTTGACCCTGAGAGGTCAGCTAAATATCTACAGCGGATCTAAAATATTCATAATTAATTATAACTAGTTATGATTAATTATTCATATTTCCCATGAGCTGATTTGTTACAATTGGTAACACTTTATTTTAAGAACCAATTCTCACTATCAACTAACTGTTTATTAGCATGCATATTACTGGAATATAAGCTGTTTTATTAGTACTTATAAAGCAATTATTCTGCCTTATTCTGCATGACCATATTTTAGATCCCTTAATCCGACCCCATACCTAAACTTAACAACTATCTTACTAACGATTAATAAGCAGAAAATTAGCAGTTTATTGAGGGAAATCCCTTATTTAATAGTGAATGTGTTTCTTATTCTAAAGTGTAACCAAAATGGGAAACACAGACATAAAGGGAAACCCTATTAAGAAATACCACTTGCAGACATTAATACTAGGGGTAAAAAGGTCTTTAAAGGAACACTCCACTATTTTTGAAAATGTTCTCATTTTCCAACTCCCATAGAATTAAACAGTTGAGTTTTACCGTCTTCGAATCCATTCAGCCGATCTCGGGGTCTGTCAGTAGCACTTTTGGCTGTAGCTTAGCATAGATCATTGAATCTGATTAGACCGTTAGCATCTCGCTCAAAAATGACCAAAGAGTTTCTATATTTTTCCTATTTAAAACTTGACTCTTCTGTAGTTACATCGTGTACCAAGACCGACGGAAAAAGAAAAGTTGCGATTTTCTAGGCCGATAGGGCTAGGAACTATACTCTCATTCCGGCGAATCAAGGAACTTTGCTGCCGTACCATGGGTGCAGCAGGCACAATTATATTACGCAGAGCCTGAAAATAGGCTAACTTCCATCAACATAATCAACTTGACCACCTGCTTGCACAGGGAGCGTGCTGGGGACTATTTTCATGCGCTGCGTAATATCATTGCGCCTGCATGGTAAGACAGCAAAGTTCCTTGATTATATAAGTTTTAAATAGGAAAAATATAGAAACTCTTTGGTCATTTTTGAGCGAGAATGCTAACGGTCTAATCAGATTCAATGATCTATGCTAAGCTACAGCTAAAAGTGCTACCGCCAGACCTAGAGATCGGCTGAACGGATTAGAAAACGGTAAAACTCAACTGTTTAACTCTAGGGTTGGAAAATGAGCCTATTTTGAAAAATAGTGGAGTGTTCCTTTAAGTATGCTAAGTATGCTTGAGTATGCTAGTGTGCTAAATTATTATTCTAAATTACCCAAAACACCCTAGCAACCACATACACTACCCTTCAAACGTTTGAGGATGGTAAAGTCTTCGGTAAGAAGTCTCTTATGCTCACCATGGCTGCATTTATTTGATCAAAAACGGTAAAATAATGTAAAATAGTAATACTGTAAAATATTGGTACAATTTAAAACAACTTTTTTCCAAAATATAAAGTGTAATTTATTCCTGTGATGCGAAACTGAATTTTCAGCATCATTACTCCAGTCTTTAGAGTCACATGACCCTTCAGAAGTCATTCTAATATGCTGATTTGCTGCTCAAAACAAACAAACGGTAAAACAGTTGTGATGCTTCAAATGTTTGTGGATTTTTCAGGGTTTTTGGTGAACAGCAAGTTCAAACATACAGCATTTATTTGAATAGAAATCATCTGTAACAATATAAATGTGTTTACTGCCACTTTTGATTAGTTTAATGCATCATTGCTGTATTGCTGACCCCAAACTTTCAAACAGTGGTGTAGCAATGTGCTTAACACCACTCAAAACATCTTCAACCATTTAAAAAAATCCTAGTAACCAGCCTCACATTTTCTTGATAAAATGTAAATCTCATTATATTTGCTGTTTTCTGTCAAAACAGAGATATCTGAGATGTTTTTTTTTTGTCAACAGAGTGCTGTATGTAGTACAACATTCACTTTCATTTCAGAATCAAATCCTGAGTGAACATGCCATTGTCAGATGAAGGAAAAACTAAAACACAGCCTTCGTGTCTCCCCAGCAACTCATCCAAACATTCCTTGGGTTTGGAGCTACATGATTCAATTCCCATTCCTTTCTAATCCCTTTTAAAACATAATTACCAGCCAGTAATTAAACATTCATACGATATCAATGGCTGCAGAGGATCATTAAAGTCGTACAAGAAAGTAAACATCTTGACTCCACAAGTTGCTCACAGACAGCCTCTCTCTTTCTCTCTCTGGACTTTTTTCCATGAACCCACCCTACTGATGCTCTTTCACTGTTTCCAGTCTCGGATTGGAATTACAGCAGAACACCGTCTTTCCAAGCCACCGGGGTCTGACTTTGTTTTTAACAGAGATTCTGATATCTTCGTGGTGTCAAAGCTGGACCTGATCAAATATCAAGAGGACCCAGGAAGACTGAGCGGGCGTGATATTGCTCAGTTTCTGTGGAGTTCTGCTGGAGGATAAACAGTTATGAGGTGGGAAAACCAGTTCTCTGAGGAGCTCAGATAAGAGCTTGTGGAGAGAGGCTGTGGGCAAACATAACAAGCTGTATGAAGCTCTCCCCACTCCGTCTAATCTTGCCGTCTGCATAACTCCAGCTCGCCGTAATGCCTCGGCCCTCTAAAAATAGATCCCAGGATCGTGCTCTCATTTTAAAAAGGAAAAGCAACCAAAGTGTTTGAAATAATGATCAGAGTGCAAAAAATATGACTGAGATCATATGTTCGGCCTCAGAAGTGTGACTATTTCTTCATTTCAGTGGCTCATGGTAATATTTGAACAACATGAAAAAGGGATTAAAATACATTAAAAGTTGTATTTTTATTGGATATGTGGGCATTTTTGATAATTTATTTGGATTACATTAATGAGTAAACGATTATATAATTTACCAAACAACAATGAACAGAGTTTAATCAATGTGATTATAATCAGGTTTACATTAATTTATGCCTCCAGTTATTCCATATTTTCTGTTCATATAAACATTATTAGGCATGAGAAACAAGACTGATATTAAAAAATCAAGTCAAAAATCCAACTTGAATAAAATAATAAGAGTTATAACTTAAAAGTGTGACTTACCCTTGCTGTTTTAGTGTGATCTGACACACTCCTCTGCAGACTCAAATCTGCTTGTGTTACGCAGCAGTGCTCCGATATGTCTGTCAAACCCTCAACAGCTGCCTTCCATAAATCTGATTCTGGATCAGTCTCAGTGCAGACACCCCCCCTTCCCAAGCTTCCTCTCAGCTTCAGAAGTCTCTACACCTCGCATTACGCAAACGTAAGGCTTTAATGATCACTTAAGAGTGGATTCATTAGCAAGATCCATAAACACCAGTAGCTAGTTTTGTTGTTTCTCATGGAGGGAGGGAAGGAGGAGTAGAGAGAGGGGGAAGAAGGAAAAAATGACTGCCAAGAGAGAATTATAGAGCATTTTCTGCACTTGTTTGACTTTTATGCATGTGAGTCACTTTCTAAGCACGAGCTCCGGATAGTAAAACTAAAGTTAGTGGCTTTGCTCATTGGGGATCTGCTTGTCTGTGGGACAGCGAGTCTTTCTCTATAAAGGCGGGTCACACTAAAACAGGACAGAGTATTAATAGCAGAACAGCAGAAGCTGTTATGTTCTGAGCTTTGTGTTGTCTCTCTTACATAGTTTATGTAGTTTAGGAGTCCGAATGACTCCTCGTGAAAATGCTTATAAAACAACCCCCCAAAACTAATCCAAAAATTTCCAGACTGTTATGATGGATCTTATTAGACATACATTTTTTAGGACATTGAGGAGATGTGTGCTGATATTTTTTATAAGTAGACTTACCAGACTTATGGAAATAGTGTTCTTTTAATTTGGGCCAGTAAGGAAACACCTACAAACACTCAAAAAAAAATGTCATAGCTGTAATGTATAGCAATTTTATAGTATAGTGACTTTTGAATGGGCATTACTCTCATTTTCTTTAAGAAAATCTAATTATATACAGCAAAAGTTTGATTTCTGCAAGATTTTTATAAACAAAATGTATCTTATGCTTACCACAGCTGTATTTGTTTGATCAAAAATACAGTTAAACAATAAAATTGTGAAATATTATTACAGTTTCAAATAACTACATTTCAGCATCATTACATTCAGTGTCACATCACACGATCCTTGAGAAATCATTTTAATATGCTGATTTGGTGATCAAGTAACATTTCTTATTATTAGCAACAGTTGTGCTGCTCATTTTTGTGGACTGATAAATTAAGGAGTTTTTGATGAATAGAAAGTTCAGAAGTAAAGCATTTATTTAAAATGGAAATCTTTTGTAACATTTATAAATGTCTTTACTATCAATTTTAATCAACTGAATACATGTACGCAGATTAAAATTATACATTTCATACTAAATAATAAAATATTATAATGTATTTTTTATCTCTATCTTAAAAGGATGCTGATAAGTAAGCATGAGAAACGTCTCGGTTATTTTTTGATGAATAGAAAGTTCAGAAGTAAAGCATTTATTTAAAATGGAAATCTTTTGTAACATTTATAAATGTCTTTACTATCAATTTTAATCAACTGAATACATGTACGCAGATTAAAATTATACATTTCATACTAAATAATAAAATATTATAATGTATTTTTTTATCTCTATCTTAAAAGGATGCTGATAAGTAAGCATGAGAAACGTCTCGGTTATGTATGGTAACCCTCGTCCCCCGAAGGAGGGAACGGAGACGTCACGTCGGTGACCGACGAATTGGGATATCGCTTCGATAGACCAATCTACTTCGAGTGTAAACTAAACGAGCCAATGCACATTGGCATGCAATTATTGCATCCAGCTGCCGCTGATCACAGCGTGAGTATAATAAGGCAGCAGGTGCAATGCATACCAGGTTTTCGCTGAGGAGCCAAGCCGGTGACCCAGCCGCTCAGCGGTGGTACAGCAACCGTGGCGACGGAACGTGACATCTCCGTTCATCAGGGAACGAGGGTTACCATACGTAACCGAGACGTTCCCTTTCAGTCGGTCACTCCGAGTCACGTCGGTGACCGACGAATTGGGATCCCTACCAAAGCGCCATGGTGCTGCCCCTTCCAGTGCCCTGTGCGAGCCGCCTGTGCCCCTATCTGGTGTAGGCTGGGGCTCGGGACAAGTAATTCCACTCACCATTTTTCAAAGCATTACCTTACTGAGTGAGATTGGATAACACTGGGAAAACGTACCAGCTCCACTTGGAACAGGGACGCTGCGGAAGCGCCATCCTTCCCGAAGGAGTTTTCGGAAGGAAATACACATATAGCATCCGTTTAGGTGTATATGGAGAACTGGAGGTGATTTTCACCCTCTTGGAAAGGCAGAAGTCTGCCGGGGAAACACGGGCTTTATGGCTATACCGTGGGCTATACACATACGAGAACCGCTTAGGTCTCAATATGGAACCCAGCCTTCCACGGTTCCCGCGGATTCATCGTGAAGTCCCGGCGCCGGGAGTTCCGCCGCGTCTGCTGCCGAGGGTGACGGAGGATCTCAACAGGGTCTACTGTAGGACACTCTGGAGCAGTTTTTGGCCCAAACTCTGGGCACGAATCGTCGACCGAAAATGCATGCAGGTCCCCTACCCTCTTGATGGAGGCCAGTGCAAGCAGGAGCAGAGTTTTCAATGAAAGAAACTTTAGCTCAGCTGAATGCAGAGGCTCATATGCAACGGTCGCTGTGTTGTCCGTTCGGACCAGTACGTGCTTGTCTCTTAAGCGCCCTTTGAGACGGTTCAAGGCAAGGCGCACTGCCAACAACTCTAGGCAATTGATGAGCCAGTGCAGCTGCGGGCCTGTCCAAACCCCTGAGACTGCGGACTTTGAGGGTGGAGGGAGACAGCCTTCGCTCCAGCCCTTGCTGCTGAAAGGAAAGCACGACCACAATTGGGCATCTCCGGGGGTCTTCTCGGCGAGAAACGCTGCAGCCGCCATATGCCCCAGGAGCCTCTGAAAAAGTATCAGTGGGACCGCTGTCCTGCCCTTGAACGTATTCAAGCAGGCTTGCATTGTCGGTGCACGTTCCTCTGTGAGGCGTGCTGTCTGTTAGACCGAATCCATCTCCAAACCGAGAAAAGAGATCCTCTGCGTCGGGGAGAGTTTGCTCTTTTCCCAGTTGACCCGAAGGCCCAACAGGCTGAGGTGCCGAAGCGCCAGGTCCCTGTGCTTGCACAACTAGTCCTGAGACTGTGCTAGTATAAGCCAATCATCTAGATAGTTGAGAACACGAACACCCTGCTCTCTGAGGGGAACAAGAGCTGCCTCCGCGACTTTCGTAAAGACACGGGGAGACAGGGACAGCCCGAAGGGTTGACCTTGTACTGATATGCCTGTCCTTCGAACGCAAACTGCAGAAATGGTCTGGATCGACACATGAAAGTACGCGTCCTTCAGGTCGATCGCTGCAAACCAATCTCGGGGACGGACGCACCCGAAGATGCGTTTTTGCGTCAACATCTTACTTGCTCCTCGTCCTCCCGGATTTTGCACAGTGTCTGTGCGAGAAGGCTCACTGGGGGAAACGCATACTTGCGTAGGCCCTGCGGCTAGTTGTGTGCCAGTGCGTCTGTGCCGAGTGTTCCCTCGGTCAGGGAGTAGAACAACTGGCAGTGAGAGGTTTCTGGAGAAGCAAACAGGTCTACCTGAGCGGCTCCAAAACGTCTCCAAATCAGTTGGACCGTCTGGGGATGGAGTCGCCATTCTCCCGGGAGCATTGCTCGAGACAGCTCGTCGGCTGTACGGTTGAGCAGGCCCGGAATGTGAACCGCACGAAGTGACCTCAGAACCTTCCGACTTCAAAGGAGGAGGTGGCGGGTACATCTTGAACGGTAGCCAATGAAGGGCCCGGTTCAAAACTCGCAGATCCAAGATTGGCCGTAACTCACCACATTTCTTGGGTACAATGAAGTAAGGGCTGTAAAATACCGACCTCATATCGGCCGGAGGGACCGGCTCTATCGCATCCTTCGCCAGTAGGACTGCGATCTCTGCCCGCAGAACAGGGGCATCGGCGAACCGAATCTCATAACCGAGGCTGATGGTCCGCAGAAGCCAGCGAGACGGGCTCGGTAGCGCTGACCAAGCGCCCAGAAACCATACAAGCGGGGCCAGCGGAACCACAGCCGTACCCGCAGTGGGGCAGTGAGGTGGAACACAGGGACCCAACTCGGGCGGCTTGTGAGAGGGCCGGAGAGGGGTGTGAGTGTGGGGTGCAAGGCTCACCTGGTTCCACGGGTTGGCAGAGGGTGCGTGAGTAGGACCTTTGTTGACGCTCTCGAACCGCCCGCTGCTGCCGGCTGCGGGAAAAAATGAAACAAAAGATTCTCCACCCGGCCGTCCTCCGGGGGACGGAGTGGTGCGTTCACCATCTCCCGAAGAGCAGATCCCTCCATCTCTGGGTCGCCTGTCTCAGGGCCGCTTGCTTCTCTGCTTGCCGCAAGGTTTGACAGGGGCCTGGACAGGCGGGATGGCCCGCCCATGCCCGGCTCTACAACGCCGCTATGCTGAAGGCTGCTGTGGCGCGGGGGCAGATGTGGGGGCCCGCCCTCGGTGACGAGCAGGCTGGGGCGCTGCAGCCGGAGGACGGGTGGAGGCAGCAGCTGCCCGCCGGGGCAGGATGTGTCGGATCGCCTCTGTCTGCTTCTGGGCAGCCGAGAACTGCTGGGCAAAGCTCTCGACTGCATCGCCAAAGAAGCCGGTCTGGAACACAGGGGAATTGAGGAACCGAACCTTGTCGGTGTCCCTCATGTCTGCCACAGCCAGAGATGGCACTCCTTGACCACAAGCATGGACATCGCACGACTCAGAGAACTCGCGGTGAACTTCGTCGCTCGGAGCGCGAGGTCAGTGGCGGTTCGGAGCTCTTTCAGAAATTCCGGATCGTGACCACCCTCGTGCAGGTCCTTCAGTGCCTTAGCCTGGTGCACCTGCAGTAACGCCATAGCGTGTAAGGCGGAAGCAGCTTCCCCGCAAGCCGTATAGGCACCGGGTCTCCCCGCTAGGAGGAGGCGGACTTAGGACACAATTGCATCGCTACCACCTGCTCCACCGGGGGGATCACCGAATATCCCTTCGCTGCACCGCCGTCGAGGGTGGTGAGGGAGGAGGAGCCCGCCGGCCGGTTTCTGGCTGTAAAAGGTGCCGTCCATGACCTGGTGAGCTCGTCATGCACTTCCGGGAAGAAAGGCGAACCAGCGCGAGCCACCCCGAG